ATAAAGAGCTTGATATAAAATTATGATTATAGAGAATTAATCTAATATTACATATTGTATATAGTATAGCTTAATATAACTAATGTTATTTATTTCAAATTTAGTTATTTATATAAAAATATTAAATATATAAACTTTTTATAATAGAAAAGGAGAAAACTACTAAAAATAATTTTTTTTTGCTTTATAAGTTAAATATTATTTTTTTAATAAAATAAGTCCAAATTTAATATTAACTCAAAAAAATTTTTTTTGGTAATTTTCTCCTTTTCTATTGCAAAAAATCCATATGTATTTAATTGATTAGATTCCTTTTGTTTTTAATATTTAAGCAATCCATTATCATGAAGATAATTAACCAGCTTATTAAGAAGTTTATTTAAAGTATTATAGTGATTTTTTTCTTTAGTTTGACAGAAAAAATTATAAACATACTGTATACTATTAATATTTTTTTTGATATTTTTTATTAGAAAACAAATCAAAAAGAAAAATAAAAAAAAAGCCAAGTTGCATATTTATATTTCCTATTTTATATCTGAAGATTAGTCACCTAATTATTAATATCATTACTAGCTTCTTTGAATGATAGTTTTGTAGAAACTATTTATAGTATTATTCAAAGATATACAGCAAAATTTTTTATAGCTTAATAGTTGCAAAAGAAAGCATACTTTATTTTTTAATAATGATATAATAATTTATTTCAATAGATTTTATAAAGTATTCATATACACTAAAACAGTTATACAAAATTACTCAAAAATATGATATATAACTTTTAAAAATATTTTTTAATATATATTAAATATATAATCACATTTTTTTGCTTATTAATTTCTCATCTGATGCAATTAATACTTATAAACTTCTTTTATTAAATTACAGAATTACAGATTGACATCTTTCAAAAGACTTCGTTATTCCTAAAAAATTTAACATATTTATATTATATAAATTTATATATTGTGATCAGACTAAATAATTATTTTGATGATAGTATTTTAGCTTATAAGTATAGTTATCATAGTTATCATCTTCACAAATATCAATTTAAGTGTTTAATTTATTTAGATTATCTTCAGAATGAAATAAAAAAATATGAATGCATTGTTAATAAATATAATTTTTAATTTTTTTATCATATAAATAAACTTTAAAAGAAAAATTTGCAAAAAATTATGATATAAAAAGAAATGATTTAATAGGTAAAATTTCAAAAATTAATTCAAAAATATCTTTCACAATAGATATTTGAATATCAGATTCAAAAGATTATTATCTTGAAATAACAATTCATTATATTAATGAAAATTGAGAATTAAAAAATCTTTTGTTAATATAATTCCTATAAATAGTTCTCATAGAGCTGAATTAATTACAAGTAATCTTTTATAACTTTTTGAAAAATTTAATATTAATAGAATATTCTTGTTATGATAATAGTTAATGAAAGTAATATGATAGTATATGATAATCAATTAGTAGCTGAATTAGATTAAGAATTTAATAATATATTTTTATTTATATTTGATATACTGCTCATATTATTAATTTGACAGTAAAAGCTGGGATAAAATATGTAGGAAATAAAATCAAAATACTTTGTTAATTTGTTGTTAAATTAAAAAATTTACTATTATTATTAGATAAAATATTAGAAATTTATACTATTAGAAAGGTTAAATTTTCTAAAACTAATTTTAGATATAGATACATATTTAAATTCTATATATTTGATAATTTCTAGACAGACTTTAATGCAAAATGTTTCTGATTTACTTGTAACAACAAATCCTGAAGATCTTAATAATCTTTTCTAACAATTTCTAAATATAATTATATTAAGATATTTATTATTTATTATTTTATTATTATAATTAATTAATTAATTATTTATTTATTTTATACTTATTATTTATTTTAGGAATTATCATTACTTTTACAACCTATGTATGAAGCAATACAATTATTATCATCATCATTAAATCTTACATAAAATGATATATGATTGATTTTTGTTAGAATGTTTAAAAAATTGAATTAATATCAAAGAAGAGGTTATTATATACAAAAGGAAATAGCATTAACTATTTACAACAAATTAAAAAATATTGGAATGATCATTTAAATTATATTTCTACAATTTTTTTAATATTAGATTTGCATTATAAAATCATATTATTTAATAATAATAACTAAACTAGAATTATTAATAATTTACAAGAATTATATAATACATATTCTCACTTAAATAATCAAATAAATTCAAAAAAAAAAAGTTATTATTTTAGGATTACTTTCTTACTTTGCTTAATCAAAATAATTATCAAAGAATAACATATAATGAATTAGATATATATCTAAATTCTCTAGTAGATAATGATGCTAATCTTTTAATTTAGCAAAAAGTTTATGAAAAAAATTATCTGATATTGTCTCAAATGGCTAAAGGTTATTTATTGATCTAAGTAATTTTAGTTTTATTAGAATGAGCTTTTTAATTTTAAGTTTAATTATCTCAAAAGTTAGAAATAGGTTAAATCTTAAAATAGCAAAATCAATTATTTGTATAAAGCATTAGATTTCAAAAAAAAGGATAGTAGACAATTTATAAATTCATATTAAAATTATGAGAATAGATAATAAGACAATTATTTTAGGTCAAAGTTTGATAGAAATAATATTTTGATAATAATAAATCACAAAAAAAAATTTTTTTATATAATAGACCTTTATTTTGGTTTATTTTATTATAATAAAATTTTGGATTAAAAATGTTATGTTGCATAATTTTTTTAGAAAAGAAGAAGAAATTGATGAATTAAGAAGTAAGCTGAGTTAATTAAAAGAAGAATTTTTGTTCAAGATTATTTATTAAGTATAAAGTATTTTAAAAATTGTTTAATTTGAAATAGAACCAGTTCAATAGGAAAAGTATTTTTATGAAAAAAAAGATTTAATTTATCAGTTAATATAATTTCTTTAATTATTTAAAGATTTAAAAAAAAGAGAACAGATGCTAATTATCTTTAAATATATTTTCTTTTTATACACTGGTTTTCACATTAATAAAAAAATTTAATTTCTTTCAAGTTGTATTTTAAATTGTTTTTAGTTTTGTCTTAGATTTTACAATATACTATATATATAAACTCTAATCTAAATTTTAATTTCAAATCAGTTTACAAACTGATATAGTTGATTTACCTTAAAACTGATAAAATCAGATTAAAACTGAATTGGTTAATCCCTAAAAATAACACATCAATATAAATTACCAATCACTATAATTAATTACATAATAATTTTTATCTAATAAAAATTGATTCTTAACTATACTATTATATTATTATTTGAATTAACTTTTGTATTTTATTTTATATTAATCAGAAATTTTTTTTTCATTTATCATGGTCAACTCATGGCACCTTTATTTAATAAAACTAATATAAAATATTGGAACATTTTACAATTTTATATAGGATAGATTAGTACTAATAAAAGAAATTCAATAAACCTAACTTACAATAAATCTTCAAACTTATGAAAAATTTCTATATGATTATTAATAAATGCATAGATGACAAAAAAGTTACAAAAGAAAATAATCTTTTAGCTGTTATTAAAGTAAGTTACTTTTAGTATATTTTTTGAATATTATGTCATAATAAGGGTTTTTATATAAAATGAATTATTGGCTAGTATACAGTATAATTTAAGATTTTATTTATCACAAGAAGATATAACTGATAGTTATCTCACTAATGAGCTATTAGCTTGTTGTAGTCTCTGATTTTATCAGTGAGTAGTAACTCTAAATGTTTATTAGGCATCTATGGCTAGGAAGTATAGTTGTTAGCTATTTTTCTAATAAACTATTAGTATAGATACCTGCTAAAACCTCCTCAAAATAATTTCGTCATACCCTTTTCTATGTTTTTAATATAATTTTGACAATTTTAGCTTTTGTTATATTGAAAGGATTTCATCATATCTCTTATTTTAATTTTAATATAGTTTTATCTAAGTTTTGACTGTTATTAAGAGATTTTATCTCTTATCTATAGCTGTTAGCTTGCTATAGCTTGATGTAACACTTGTTATTATAAATTCACAAAAAATATTTGTTTACTAGATTAAACTAATAGAATTTTCTTAGAGATTAGAACTGTATCATAAATAGTCATCCAGATACCCATGTAATTTTTGAAATCAGGTATTTGATTAAAATTATGTGAATAGTTAGCATAATATTTGAAATAGTTTATTAACAATATGTATTTTTTTCTTATTTGTCAAATAAAGTTATTTTAGTAATTGACTTAATTTTATTACATAAAATAAATTTATAATAGATTTAAGAAATTTTTATTAAATTTCGATTTATAATTCTATTAATAAAGTGAAAAACTCTAACTAAAACATATGAATTGTGGTTGAATTTCTCTTTAAAAACATCATTTTACCTGCTAATTTTAAATCTAAATGTGTATATTTTGCAGTAATTTGATTACCTGTATCAGAAAATAATCTTTTGTTAGGTACTGATAAACTGAAAATAAATAAATACTTTCTAGCTAATTTAGCTACATTAGGAAACTGAGCTTTCTGAATTGCCTACTACTCAAATGGATTCACATTATGATCAGTGATAAGTATACTAATAGGATCTAAATAACATTTTAATTTAAAAAAAGAATTTACCGTTAATACCTGTATAACAAAATAGAGGAATGCAATCGGCTATGATGTTATTGTTAGCTTAAGCTACTAGATGATCATAATAATTATTTTGAGTTTAAATCAATTAATTCTTTAAATTAATGCATTAATTCTGTTTTTATCTTATTACATATTTCTTTATTCCAATTAAAAAGTGTTTTCAGCCTTGAATCTAAAAGAGATGTTAAAAGACCAATCATTATAGATTTATTTCAATAGAAAAACAATGAAATATAAATGATTCTTTTCATTATTTTAAGAATATCTTGTGTAGGCTAAATAGTTGAAATTGTTACTTTAGATTGAGTATGATGGCGATATGATATTAATTGCTCTAAATTATCAAGTTTCAGGTTATCTTCTTCATTACTATTACTTAATCCAATTTTTTCATCTTCTTTATGTTGAAAATTTGAAACATCTATAAAATAAATTATGATTAATTAATTAGCAAAATAATTTTTATAATATATTATAATATAACTGATTTACCTTGTTCTATTTCTGAATATTTATTATTGTCTTCACCATATTCAGCATATTTAAACTTGAGGACTTGAATCAAAGGATAAATAATTAACAAAGTTATATAAGATATTCTGCTAAAATATGTAGTGGTATCTTCAAATAGCTCTAATAAATCTACAATTTATTTTAATAAATTCCATTCATGAGGTAATAAAAGCCTCTTTTTAAGTCTTTTTCAATCTACACAATCATCATAATTATCAGATAAAGGTAATATTGCAGCCAGCCATTTAATTGCTTTACACAATTTTAATAAACAGTTTTAGAAATAATATTTGAAATTCCATCAAGTCTTTATATCAGCAATATTTCACAAAATGTTTTTGTGAATTTGTTGAAATATTTAATAGTGGTTTATTTGTGTTATAATCATTATCATTAGAATCTTCTTTATTAGAATTATTAGAAATATCTTAATTAATATATTTTTGACATTTCTTTTAAGCATTATCAAGATGCTCACTTTACTTAGGAGAACTTGTAAAAAAATGTACTAGATGTTTAATTCGCTTAATATAAATATTAGTTTTTTTAATGTATGATAAATTAAATATTATAATGTATACGCAACATAAGGTGAGCATTCAATACCATTCTATTAGCTAATTGCATTAACCATATTACTTCTATTATTAATCATAACACAGGTAATTTTTCCTTCTAATCCAAATTCAACAACTTTTTTTTTAAAAAAAATACAATATTTGTTCCAGTATGAGGATATTGCATATACTTCATGCAAAAAAGATAATCATATACTTTAAAATCTTCTAATAACTAATGTAAAGTTACATCAATATACCTGTGTTTACTTTTAGCTGTCAAAATGTCAGTTGTCAAAGAAGCAGATTTATAAGTATTTTCAAGCAATATCTTCAATTACATTTATATATCTAGTATAAATTTTATTCTTTATTCTTTTATTAGATGGAATTGAAAATGCAGAATTAAGAGTTATCATTATTTTTCAATAACCTTTGACTTAAATAATTTTAAGTAAAAGATTGTTAATAGTAATTCATTCAGCAATAGCTTGCCTGATTTCTTGATTTGTGATTCTTTATATAATTTAACTTTTGCTTTTTCTATTAATTCTGATACAGTTAGTTAAATTAATTTATCTATTTGCTATAATTAAAAAAATAAAATTGTAAAATTTTTGATATGTATATGGTTAGTATTTAATATTTAAATTAAGAAATGATTTTTATATATAATGTAGTTTTTGTTTAAAAAAGATAGTATTATCTTATTCATTCTCTCATAAATGCTATACTTTTCATGAAGATGTTTCCTATAGATCTATTATGCGAAAATTGCTAATGATAATATATTTCATTATTTTGCATATTCATAACCAGAATTTGACATATATCATACTTGTTTTCTTGAATCATATATTACCATACTCAACTAGTTTTAGTATATTTACATTTGATTTATTTAATTTCACTTTTTTTTCTGCATGTGATTAATTTTTATCAAGAGAAACTATTGAAGATAGTGCTGTTGAAGGGGCTATTAGAGGGGTTGTTGAAGGAGTACTACTAGAACTAGTAGATATATCATCAAAGGTGTTATCTATTTCTGGAATTGTATCAGAAAGATAATCCCAAATATTATCATTTATCGTAAATATTCTAGACATTCAAATTAAAAGTTGATATATAAAGTGGTAAAAAAGTGAAGAACTGAAGGGCTAATTTATAGTAAAAAAGATTATTAAAAAGGCTTAAATTTAGTTAATTTTCACATAGGTCAATCTAGTTTGAAAACTGGATGAATTTAATACAGATATCTGGTTTGTTAAATATTGATCTATATTAACTTAATTTGATGTGAGTAACCTGAATAATTATTAACCAGTTTCAATCACTAAATTTTCTTTTAATGTTTTATCAGAATCAACAAAAAAGGTAACAATATAGATAAACTTTAGCTTACTATTAAAAATAAGATATGCATTCTATAGATAGATAAAGAAAAAATTAATTTGAAAATTTTTTAGATAATTAATTTTTATATAAACTTTTGAAATGTATTGTTTACAATTTGAATCTTGTGATTAAATAAAATAGATTAAGGGAATTGTATAAACTATAAATTAAAGTTAATAATACATGTCTATATTGAATGATAATACTATTATAAATTTGAAATTTATCATAATTAAAATAAATCAAAAACTATTTGAAAGCAAAAAAAATGAAATTCAAAAAATAATTGCAAATTCTGAAAATAATATTTTTCAGCATTTGAGAATGAAGTATATTAGTTCTCTATTATAAAGCAATAGTTAATAACTAGATATATAATTAAACCTTTTTATTTAGATATTTTTATAATTTAAGTTTTTAAAATTAAATCAATTTAAGTAATTTTAATTTAAATATTAAATATTAATATGATAAATATAAAAAAATAAATAATAAATCTTAAATTTTAAAAAATAAATAATATAATTTTTAAAAGAAAATAATAATTAAATCCTTTAACTTAGAATTCTAAAAATAACTTGCATAAACTCACATATTTGACTTGCATGATTGTGTATAATTATAAATTTTAGTTACATATAATAAATAAGTACTTTAAATTAAAGGTATATCAGATAATTTTGACTCAAAACTTGATTTAACTCAACTCATTAGGAACACTACTTTAATATTTTATAATATTATTAATTATTATTTTATTATAAAAATTATATAATAATTGTTTAATTCTTTTATTTAATTTTTTTATATCTTTATTTATAACTCAAAAATTTTTAATTTTTAATTTTTATTAAAAATTTATTGAGTATTATAATTATATTAATTATTTGTATTTAAATAAAGTTTTTTATATATTAAATAATTTTATTATTTATATTTTTTATATTTTATAAGTTTTTTCTTTAGATTTGTAAATTATGTAATAATTTTATTATTATTTTTAATTTTACTATAATAATTTTATATAACAAAAAATTGATAAAATATAATTTATTTATTTTTCAATAAAAATATAAATTATTTAGTAATTTTTATTATAAATAACAAAATATTACAATTATTTTATTAAATATTTAATTGAAAAGAATTCTATAAAAAATTTTTTCTATTTTTTATTAAAAATAATATTAAAGAAAAGTATTTTTTTATTTATATATTATAATGATTATTATTTGATAATTTACTTAAAGTAATTTATATGAATTTAAACTCAGATTTTTAAAATTAATATTTTATTATTTTTAAAGAATTATTATCAATTAAATCTTTAAATAATTTACAAACTAAATTAAATTTAAAATTTTATGATTTTTTGTTAAATTTAATTAAATAAAAATTTATAATTTACATATTTTATAATTATGTATTAATTAACTATATTAATAACTCTTAAATAATTATTATAATTATTAATAGTTTTAAATTAGTAAGGTTGTATAAGTTACATCTTCAAATACAAATTTGACTTTTTCACTGTTAATATTTATTTTTTTAGATTTTTTATATTTTTTTTATTAATTTATCATTAATATTATATATTATACTAAGCATTATTATAAGTTTATTATTTATTAATATCTTATTATTTTAATTGAATGATATCTTTTCATTTAATTTAATTGATATCTTATTATATTATTTATTATAATACTAATTTAAACATTTTATTTATTCTTTTTTTAAGATAAAGAAAATATTAATATATTAGTTCTAATTATTTCATATGCATTAATACCTTTTTTTATAAAAATAAATATAGATTTATACTAATAAATAATAATTTATAAAATATTAAAGTACTGATAATTAATTAATTAAATGATATTAATTTATTAATATTAGTAAAAATATAAATTTTATAAATTTTAATTTTTAATGTACTTATAAAAATATATATGTAACTTAATTTATATAATAATAGAATTTTATATTTTTTTAGAATCAATTTATTTTTGATTTGAAATATATATGCAAATAGTCTAAAAATTATACTATTATTTTATAATATCTAATATTATTTTATATATTAAAAAAAATATATATAATTTTAATAAAAAATTCTAAAATAATTAAAAACTGATCATAAATAAACATCTATTAAAATAAAATAAAAAGATTAATAAGATTAATAAGATTAATTTTTTATAGATAAAAATTTAAATATACTTATATATTTAATAAAAACAAGCTATATTTTAATTTACTAGAATTTAATCTTGTTTATTTATAATTTTTTAACAAATAAATCCCTTTTTTTACTTTTTAATAATAGTATAAATATATGTATTTTATATGACAGATTTAATTTATTATAAAGAAAAAATTTAGAAAAAAATAATGTTAAAAAAACATAAATTTTAATTAAATTTTTATTACCTTTATTATTATCTTTTTTTGATTTTTTTTATTAGTATTAGACTTATTTATATTATCTTCAATATTATTATTATTATTATTATTATTTTTTTAACAATGTGGCACTGCCAGTAACTTTATTAAATTTATATGTAAGAAAATATAAAGTAAATCAAAAATAAATCTATGCTAAGTACTAGCTATCCCCTGTAGTTATATTACAAACCTGTTTGAATTAACCTATCATCATCTTTCCCCTCCATCAAATCCACTAAGTGCATATTTAATGAAAGTTGATATCAACAAGAAAAGAAAAAGAAGATGTCAGTGCCTATTTAAAAAGTCTGAAAATGCGTAGCCAAATTTGTTTGCAAGATGTATCCAAATTTTTCAGTTAAAAGAGGGGCTTGATGTTTGTCTGTGAGGCAGGGGTGAACTAGCACAACGTTTATGCTTATCTTATTTAGTGATGCCCAATGAGCGCTCTTTGGTGATTAGTAAGTTGCAACGGTGTTTCCAGATATCATCGTATAGCTTTTAGTAGAAGAGGAGCAGCGAGCGTAAGACAATGGAGAGGCATCACTCTTTATTGCTAGCTATTTTGTGAATAATATCTATCAGGGAAGATGGAATTCTGGATTAAATGATGTCAATGTAGCTATTAGAAGCATTTGAAGGTGATGCGAAAGTGTTATTGAATATGTTCTCTAGTTCAGTTTGGTGTGCTGTGCATCTAACTCTGTATAAAAAGCTTAGCTAGTCAATAAGATTATTTTTGGTAACCGAGATCATGTTTATAATTTTAGGGGAGTATAATGGATATATCCAAATATGAAAAGCAGTTTCAGTAGTAACGTTGCAACTCACACACGGCCAGTGTTCATATAAGTTAGGTCTTAATAATGTGAGGCGTGATAGTAAAGGAAGTTCGTCGATGAAATTTTTGATAATGAATAATTTGAGCTTACATGAAGCGAAGAATGTGGAGAGAGAAGAGGTATTTATTGAAAAAAGGTTTCAGATAGCAAACCAATTGATAGATTTATTGACTGTGAATACTTTGAGTTTATCATTCCTGTTCAAATCCAGAAAGGTGCCAAATACTTGTGTTGCAAAGAGTTGTTTGAGAAAACCTCTGATAGAGACTTCAATAGGAATATTATTAAAGTAAAATGAGAGATCTGTTGAAAGGACATTATTAAGTAGCAAGGATAAGGGAAGTGTATTGCATCCATCTTTAGCTAATCTATCCACTATTTCATTGTAATAGTTTCCAGTATATGCTTTGATTTTGTAAAGTAAAACTTGAAGATTGAGGTGATTAGTGATATATCGGATAATATTCCAGATTATATAATTAGGAACTTTTTCAAGCTTTCTCAGAGAAAGATGATTGAAGAGCACGTATTTGTTAAAGTCATGAATTATTGCCTGGCTATCTAGGTAGATGTTCACCACTGCGTTGTTTAGAGATACTATGAGGGCAGTGAGGAGAGCATATATTTTAACGCGCGTGAAAGAGGGCCAATTTGTGAGTGAGGCTTTAAAGGTAAATGAACTATTGTCTGGGTGTAAGCAAATCCAACCAAATCCCATTTTACAGTTGTCAGTCTGAAGTCCTATTAAGGAACCATTGGTGCAAAATATTAAAACTATAACACCAATGAATGTGGACTGTAATTGTTTAAGCTTGGGTGAGTGTATCGATAGTTAAATAATAAGATCGATGATGTTTTCAGAAGGTGAAATTATTAGAGGGAGGTTATTGTATAGACTGTGAAAAATCATATTGGTGATATGAGAGATTTCCCTAAATGATTGTTTGGGTTGATTCTTGACTGTATGTGATTGTTTAGGAATGGTCTGAACTAAATAGGCCAGAGCATTAAGGATATTGATGATGCAACACCCAGATAAAATGGTTTGTTTGCTGAGAAAACAACCTGAGCATTTAACAAGCTGACAAACATTATTGTAAATGATGTTGTGGGTGAAATGGTAGCAGATGAGATAATTACTGTTTGAGACGTCGGCTATAATTTTTCTGAAGGTTGGACCATTGAACGTTGTATTTTAGGTTGATACTATTTCTTTCATTTTGCTATTTAAGGTGAGCGCTTGAGAAACGGGTTTGTAACATGGTAAGGGAGAATCCAGTCTGAATGCTAGTTTGATTAATCTATGTACATGATTTTCTAAAACAATGTTGTTTAATCTATAAAAAAATCAGATGAACCAAATCTTTTTGACTGGTGGTTAAAATCTCTAAGAAAGAAATCAAACGTAGTAATTAAATGACGACCCAAGGAAGAGATTAGTTGATCTAAAAAATATAAGTTATGGTTAGTGAAAATCTTGATATATCGTTTCAGTAAACTACTAGAAAGGATTTTTGTGATGGGTTGAGTGCCTCCAGTAATTTTATTCATGAGAGAAAGGGAAACATTAAGAGAAAGTTTTGATGATGAAGAGTTAATAAGGGAGAGGGAGGCACCAATTAAGTTTCTATGTGAACTTTGTTGAAAGAATGTGGCCAATAATTTAGGGGGGATGTAACAAGAATATTGCTTAACTGTAATTAGTAGAGTCGAATTAAAGAGATATTCTTATAAAGGGATGAGTTATTAAATTGATAAATAAGAGCAGTTGAAAGGGATTTGATTTGCAGTGACCAAAGGTTGCTTAAGTTATAGAATTGTTTGGAATTCAAAAGGGTGTTAGGGAGGGTAAGGGTGAATTTGTTTTTATATTTGAAAAGTGTACATATGGAAGTGAAAATTTTATGACATTCATTTTTTGAAAGGGGTGTCAGCTGTATGCGATATTCTAGCAGGAGACACAAAACCATATTGATAATGTATGATAGTTGTTTGTCCGTTAATGGTTTATATTTCATAGAGGTGACGAAACAGTTCACATCGAATGTGAGCTACTTTTTGACGAATGATTGAGCTCTCTGACTGTTAATCCATATACCTAGGAAATGTACTGACCCTTTTTCAGGAGTGATATCGATAGTGGTTGAGCCAAATTTGATAGGAACAGGAAGGATATCAATGTGACGGGTCGTCAACAGTTTCGATTTGTCTTTGTTGAGTGTAGATCTGGTGAGACTATAAAATTCATCTGCAACGTGTAAAATTTCTTCTAGATCTTGTTTGGAACTAGCTACCCAGTTTGTATCGTCCATGAACGCAAGTAACGAGGTGATGTCAGAAATCCAAGTATGATCAATTATATATCCTTTATTCAGGGAGCCTACTTCGCAGAGTAAGGGATCCAGGTAAATACACCAC